TGGCAAAAATTGCTCTCAAATATTTAATGTCAGCAGCTACTGCTAAACAGAGGCAAGTGGAGAGGAAAATATTTTAGAAAGACAAAAATACATATCTACTACTCAAGGAGTGATTGAAAATAACTCACCATACCAGATTCTCAGCTAATGTAAATCAGTTTAACTCCACTGACCTCTCATCCACAACCATCCCTCAGGCATATACTATTTAGCTTTGAGACACGGAATAAAAGTCTGCACTCTGCCCAAGAAACTGTACTGCTGCATCTTAAAGTTTTTTATATATGATCTGCATGATTTCCTATGGTGTATTTCTCCACAAGTCACAGCTCATTATAAGCTCTGCTGGCTGTTACAGCCTAAGATGGCAAACAGTTACGTACTCCTACACATTAATCTATTGAAGTCAGACCCTGTGCTCAACTGATTAGATCCAGAGCTGCAATTTTGATCCAAATACCGGAACTATGCATGACACTTCCTTTGTGCTTATGAATCAGTCCTTCACATACCACCCCAGCCTTAAACAGGCCTTTCCCCACTCCTAAGTAGCACACTGCTTGCTGCATTCTCTCTTTTCAGTGACTAGAACTCTTGGTGAAATACAGTTTGCCATGTTGTAGATTTTAAAAGCTGCATTGGGACCAGTTTAAACCCTTTCAGATAACAGTATTTTCACTTTCATGAATGGATGTGTGTGTATACATCTGTATCCATATCTACGTCTGTATTCATGTTCTACATCTATCTTCCTGTATTAAAAGGACTCATTACAGTAACAGACCCAAAAAAATTAATGATTGTAAGTGAAATGTTTTTGTTCCCAGATGACATTATTTTTTTTCTCTGAAATTTTAACACCAACACTTCTTTTTGCTTTCTCTTTTGTGCAAATGAAAATGAAGGAAAAGAAACATCCCTTGTGAAAAATTGCCTATTGCTTATACTTAAAAGTTAGCAGGCATAAACAATGATTAATAGAAAAAACTGGAAAGTTCATTTCAGAAAGCAGTTTCTAGAAGAGCAAACCAAAAAACAAGCTTCAGCAAACACTAACATTCACACTGAGATTTCCATCAGCCAACTTGTTCATTTAAACATGGAGACATTTGAAAAGCTGCAATTTGAAAAGCTGCAATTCTTTTCCCTTGTGGAAAGCAGCCTTCTACTACCATTAACTTTGGGGATTGTTCTATTCTTCTCTGTTCATCTACAATAAGCCTGAAGTCCAACAGTCATCTAATGATTTCAGAAACACTGGATCGCCCTTCCTATGGAAAAGTCTCACTGAGATTTCTTTAAAAATATTTAGCATTTTATGGGTATATCAAACGTAGTGACCATGAACACTAGACCCAAGTATCTTTTTTTGAGCAGAATTATACTACTGGACTGATACGTGGCTTTCTTAATTTCAAAACACAAGGCCCCCTGGAAATACATAAAACTAGAGCTATTTGATTTCACAGTCTTCACAAACTGCATCTAATGACATGTTCAAGATCGAAACCATGAAAGATGAACAAGCAGACAACACAATGTGAATATTCAAAAAGCTCCTGAAAAAAAGGAGATGACACAAGTCCAAGTTTTTGATTTTTAATTTTAAAAAAGTAGACACTGCTTGTCTTGAAAACTAGAATAAAAGTAGACATTACTTGTCTTGAAAACTAGAAGTAAATAAAAGTCTGGATCTAGACAAGAAGAAAGATGGAAAAAATAATGCAGACATCTAGACATCTCTGCATTTGTGATCCATTTGGCTTCAGAAGGCTATAACTCTATTAATGCAGAGAGATACCCAACTCATAAGCTTTCCAGAATGTAAAAGTTTGGTTGATTGTCAGGTTTGCTTATGTAAGCCTTATTTACCATTTCAGATAAGCTATAAATTTAAAAATGACTAAGTGTCAAAGTGGTCAAAATTATCTGGAACAGATAAAATTATCACAAGCAAATTAATCCTTTATTTTTTAAAAACCGATTTTAAACTCTATAATTTCATACATGTTATGTTTGTAAAGACCTTTACTCTTGACTTTGAAAGTCTTGCTTTCAACACATGAATCACTGGGACATGAGGGGGCATGTTTAGTGACTCGTTCCTCATAGTAATTGATATACATTTAGAGCAGAAAAAAAGTTTGTTTAGAAAGAGATTTATAATATTACACTTCATTCTACTTAACAAGAATAAAATAATGTAACTTCTTTTTACAAAACAGAATGTTGATGATACTGATATGATAAAGTTTCGAAACAGAAAGATCTTGGGAAAACTCATTTAACTATTTTTCATACATCGTGCCAAGTATTTATGTAATCATATTTTAAGTAAATATGTCAGAATTTTTGTGGGGGTTTTAAATAGAAGATCAATTTTCATTGGACAGAAAAAAAAAAAATCACACTGCAAAGCACATTAATCTGACTCTATCTAATGATTATGCTTCAGTCTTCACACAGTAGCAGACAAATACACAGATGGGCAAAATTGTGGCCTTGCTGAAAACAGTGTAAGCTATTAAAAGAGCTAAAATTTCAAACTGAGTCTAAACTTAAATAATGAATAGTATAGGAAAACCTCTGCTTTATTAAGTGAAATGCCAACCTGCTTTTATGACTACTGAGGGGTACAGAGACATGGCCCATTGCTGAAGATGTTCAGCATTTGTTAGCTCTACATCTGAATTTTTTTGAGAAACATACAATTTTGTCTTAGCTACACAGAATACATATTCAACATCTTATTTTTACCCATCTGTGATGACACAAATTCTGTTTCACTTTTCTCTGAACTGCCTTCTGTGATCTCAGTAAGCAGAAAAAGAATTTTTTAGATAAGCAACACTCATTTCTTAAAACAGGTATTATGTCTTATTATCCCACAGGCCTGTCTATGATGTAAACTGCATGCTCATTTATGGTCAGTTTGTGTACATGAAATAATCTTAACTGTGAGAATAAGAAGAAAACTGTGGTTCAGATATGTCACAAGACAGAAGATGGCTACGTTCTACATTTTGTTCTCTTCTTATGTGGTAGGTTAATATCCATGTGATTTTTTATAAAAAATTTTAAGTGCTATCACATATGGCTTATAATGATGCTTAAATATAGGTGTCATTTATTAGTACATATTTTCACTTGCTCTAAAATGATGACAGACCATAAAAAGATAACTGTATTCTGCCTAAAATAATAAAATCCTTTGTTCTTAAAATTATGATGCATTTTCGTATCTCTAATCATTATGTAATATACATTATGCTGTAGATTCTTCACTCACCTTATCTAAAATTGAATGACTCGAGCGTGTCCAGAGAAGGGCAACGGAGCTGGTGCAGGGTCTGGAGCCCGTGTTGTACAAGGAGCGGCTGAGGGAACTGGGGGCTCCTAGTCTGGAGAAGAGGAGGCTGAGGGGAGACCTCATCGCCCTCTACAGCTCCCTGAAAGGAGGGTGCAGAGAGCTGGGGATGAGTCTCTTTAACCAAGTAGTAAGAGACAAGACAAGAGGTAATGGCCTCAAGTTGCGCCAGGGAAAGTTTAGACTAGATGTCAGGTAGCATTTCTTTCCAGAAGGGGTTGTTAGGTGTTGGAATGGGCTGCCCAGGGAGGTGGTGGAGTCCCCATCCCTGGAGGGGTTTAAGAGTAGGGTAGATTTAGCGCTTAAGGATATGCTGTAGCTGGGAACTGTCAGTGCTAGGTGTACGGTTGGACTAGATGATCTTCAAGGTCCTTTCCAACCTAGTTGATTCTGTGATTCGGTAAAACTGATACAAATTCACATATTCAGGACAAGACCCACAGCCCTTTTTGAACTCTTCCACTCTCTGTACAGCCCAGGGAGGATTCTCATGGGGAAATACATGGTAGGGAAGGGTTATCAGAGGCGAGATCACAAGGTATAATATAGAACTTGTAATAGGTGTAAACCCCAGGGAGATATTTGTGTAACCAAGACTTGGATCCTTTGCTTATATGTTGTATCAAAAAATTCCACATCAATTTAAAGTCTGGAAAAATCAAATAATGTGTGCTTTCTTATCGCTTACTTAAGAAGAACTAGCTTGACTCAGCTGCAGGTACTAGATCTTAAGACTTCTTTCCTCATGACTCTTATGGTAAGCTGCACTAAAAAAGTAAAAAAAAAAAAAAAAAAAAAAAAAAAGAGAGTTAAATAGAAAACATTTACATGATATTATATAAATCCATACACTTATACCTTGAATATTATGCTGAACATTGATTATACCTTGAATTTTACAGCCCTAGTCCCTTTACACTGAAAGTATATTGTAGAATTGGGAAAGGTCTGGAACTTTGTGGAGGGCTGACCTTGTCTGGTTGCCAGACACCCATCCAGCTGTGCTCTCACTCCCCCTCCTCAAACAGGACATGGGGAGAAAGTACGATGAAAAAGCTGGCAGGTCAAGATAAAGACAGGGACCCCACTTACAAGTTACCGTCATCAGGAAAAGAAGAATTGACTTGGGGAAAAATTGTCATTTAAATAGATTTGGAGAGTGAGAAACAAAGACAAATTAAAACACCGCCTTCCTCACCACCACAACTTTTTTTCCCCAGCTCGATTTCACTCCTTAATTCCTGGGTCCTCTACATCCCCACCCACGCCCAAGAGGTGCAAGGGGGACGGGGAATGTGGGATTACTGTGAGTACAGCAACTCCTCTCTGCCTCTCCTTCCTCCTCACCTTTTTTCCCAGCTCCAGTGTGGGTCCTCTCCATGGATTGCAGTTCTTCCATGGGCCTCAATTCTTGTCAGGAGAACCTGCTCCAATGTGGCTTCTCCAGAGCCTGTATTCTCCTGTCAGGAGAAAATACTACATACAGCATGGGTGTAATTCCTGTCAGGACCACTTGCTACAGTGTAGGTTCTCCAGGGCCACAGTTCCTGCCAGGGGAACCAGCTGCAGCATCAGCTCTCCATAGGCTACAGTTTCTGTTGGGAAAACTGGCCACAGCATCAGCTCTCCATAGGCCACAGTTCCTGTCAGAAAAAAGCTGCTCCAGCGTGTGCTGTCCAGGGCCACAGTTTTCATAAGGAGAACCTGCTCCAGTGTGGGCTCTTCAGGGCCAGAGTGTCTGTCAGGAGAACCTATTCTAGCATGGGCGCAGTTTCTGTCAGAACGTGCTCCAGATCTCCAGGGGCCACAGTTCCCGTCAGGAAATGGGCTCTCCAGAGCCAGAGTTCCTGTCAGGAGAACCCGTTCCAGTGTGGGCTTCCAGGGACATAGTTCTTGTCAGGAAAATATGCTACAGTATGGGCTCTCCACAGGCTTCGGTTCCTGTCAGGAGAACCTGCTCCAGCAGGGGCTCTCCATGGCCACAGTTCCTGTCAGGAAAACATGCGCTAGTGTGGGCTCTCCACAGTCTGCAGCTCCTTCAGGGCATAGCCGCTGCCTCCAGGGTGGGGCCCTCCATGAGCTTCAGTCTGGATACCTGTTATGGTGTTTTCCTCTCCCCAGGCTGCAGGGGAGTTTCTGCCCCATCACCTAAGGCGCCTCCTCCCCCTCCTCCTTCCCTAGGTGTTCACATGGCTGTTTCTCACCCTTCTCCCCTGCGCTCCCCACTGCCTGTGCAGCATTTTGCCCTTTGTGAGATATTTTCAGAGGCACGACCAGCTTCGCTGACAGGCCCAGCCGGCAGGGAGCCCGCTGGGGAGCCGGCGGGACAGGGCAGCCCCGGTGCCTCCTCCCACAGAAGCCATCCTGCAGCTGCCCGGCTGCCAGCACCTTGCCACAGACACCCAACCGGCCTTTCAGTAAGCGCTCATAAAGGCGTAATGGCTTCCATGCAAGGAGTGACAAATTAGGCCAAGCCGCTTCAGCCTGGGGAAGAGATGAGGGAGCAGATCATGGGGAACACGCACAGGGCCGCCGATACCCTTTGAGCCTTCTGGTGCAAGAGCTGGAGAAAACAGATATAGCTGGGGGAGCCAGCATCAAACCAAGAGCTAACAGCTGGTACAAATTCAGTCACTGAGTCTCTAATTAGGATATTCGTGTATGAGCTGAACTTTAAGTTCACTAAAATTCAGGGCTGTGCTACAGCTGAACACATGCTTGCACAGTCCCCCACGACATGAGTGATTTTCTGAATAATTTGTGCTATTGGTGTTATTAAATAATCAGGTTCAGTGTTCATTCTGCTCCTATATAAACATTTATGCATTTGGCGTAAAATAACCTATACATGTGTCTTTACAGTTCTCCCCCACAAGAAAAAGATTAGCATGCTTAGTTGGAAGCAAACCACAACTATGTGGAAGACAGACATATGGCCTTTCCTTGACTTTTGGAAGTTCTGTCTCATTAAAGGGAAAAGACATGGTAGATCTTATTCCTTCCATAGGAAATCATTAATATCTTAGGACTCTATAATAATGTTTTTATAAGAAGGCTCTTTTCCCAAGCTTTCGTTTGTTAAAGCATCTTGCTTATTGCTTTGCTGTAACACACAATTGTTTTGCAAGTGATGTATTTTAGCAACAAAGAGCTGAATGTCAATATTCTTTGATAATCGGAGGACCGATGTAGTCAAGGTATTCTCTTCTCAGTACAAACTATACTGTGGGGCACCTGCTCAGGTATGGGGAGCACTCACTGAAAAAGGAGAATAACTTTTTCCAGACCTGATTCCTATGTATAAATCATGTGTAAATTTTTAGAACAAGTTAACGAAAGAGTATAAGAGTATGCTATGAATGCTCCAGATCCATTTTGCAACAGAAGACATATCCATGAGAATATAAGATTAAAATAGATATGTACATAGCTCATACACGTATATTGGGTGTTGAGTCTAGAGTTTACAGGTGCACAAAAGGCTACATACATACTTTTCAAACACATCCAGCTATGATTACAACATTTCAGAAAGAAACTGACAATTACTGTGTCAAAATCAAAACCTAAAAAAGAAAATATTAAAGCTGCTACATGTAGTACTCTAAAACAGAGCCAAGACAACTCAGAGAAACTTCTCTAAGTAGGACAGCAACTCATTGCTTCATTTCATTTCAAGTTTTATAGCAATAACTTGTAACATTGTTTATGGTGCCTATTATGTAGATCACTATACAGAAAAAAAAAACCAAACAAAACAAACAGGTAAATAGACACAGCCTGCTTCAGCAAAACACAGGAACTGGGACAACTAAGTTTGCCCATAAGTGGATGACGACTTAGTAGTATATTCTCTACAGACTTCATTTTCTGCCTAGTCTCACTACTCCTACATTTTCCTTGAATATGAGACTGTAACTTTAAAGAAAAACCCTCTCTTGCAGACTACACAACAATGATACTTATTGGTCTTGTTCCTGCAAGCCAACAAAATTTCTTTACATTTAAAATGTGAGCGTCTAAACTTTTACTGGACCCGCTTACTATGAAATCAGAGATACACAGCTAGAAAATAACTACTTATGAAGGTAATGCCACTACCAAGGACATTTTAAGTCAACATTTTAACAACCAGAGCTCTGATAGATTGCCAGAAAGTTTTTGTTTTCCCTAATTTTTGAAGAGATTAATAAATCCATGAAGACACCTTATGGGAAATGGATGTTTTTTGCAATCATACTAAGAGCATCCATGTAAGGAGTGCTAGAACAGTATTAATATACATACATAACAGCTAGAACAATCTCTTTTTTTTTCATCTCCTCCAAAAAAATCCAAAAGTCTCAAATTGAACATGGCTATACAAAATTACTGCATTTTCACTGCCTTCTACCATATTTCTTTCTTATGATATTTTTGTCCTGATTTAGCCATGGCTTATCTTAGAATTCTTTCTGCAACTCTGTTTACACCTCAGGGCTGGCTCCTGGTTAGAGATGCCTGCTTCTATCCTCACACAGATCTGGAGTTTTTGAAGTAATCATTCTTGTGCATATCTAGGATTCCATGCTAGCATCAAAGAAATGACCAATGGAAAAGGAATATTTGTAATATACCCTCTCAGGAAACAGAATCAGACATAATGATTACCACGCTTCATAAAGGTGGCCTGGAGTCCATATTCAGAGGTATGACCTCATTGTGATGTTGTCTGATGAAGCACAGTATCACATCCTGCAAAATGTAAGTTATGGTATTCTGAAGACAAGATTGAAATTGGACTGGCATTTCCTCCAGATGTTTCCTTTCAACAGTTCTCTTCCAAAAACTGTTTTGGTTTGGGTTTTGGTTTTTCTTCCAAGAAATAAAGGGGTCATACAAGTTTGTTCCCTATCTGGAGCATAGCCATTGTCACTGCTGAAAGAACATGCTCCATACAACCAAAACCTTCATAATTTGGGAGCTGTTTTCACAGTGTTCGCTTTTCGTATAAAGGAAAGGCTTTCAGCCTCAGCATCATTTGACTCACAGATTCTAAACTATTAATTGTCTAACTTTCACCAAACATGTCATGCATATTTTTTGCTACATTTTTTTTAATTAAAAAGAAAAGAAAGCACAAAGAGCACCCCCACTTCTCTCAAACATTCAGTCATACAAGTATCTTCAATCTGAAAAATAATGACTATTAAGGCAGTCCTGCGTAGCATAACAGCTTCATTGCACTGACATATGTACATACTCAAAGGCTGATACAAATCGAAACTATCGTATGTCCAAGTGATTTTGGTCTAGTGATGATAAGTGCTGTATAAATTCATACCTGAGTACAGAGCCAATGCTTCTTGTCAGCAAAAGTAATATCTACATTGGTCTACTTTGGTTAAATCACCAAGGTTTGTGCTTTCAGCTTGTCCTCTGTTTTTTCTTGCCTAGCAGAAGCAACAGACTAATGTTTAATTTAAAGTTGCTTTGCAGCAAAGAAAGAAATCTAGGTAAAGTTCTTATGGATTCTGTTCCATTCCCATTGTACCCAGTATCTTCAGCAGACATGCGGAACCTATAGAAGTATAGAAATAAGAAAAAACTAGAAACTCACAATATCAAGAGATGGTCAGGAATTTTTCTGTGGAGAGATTAATATGTTGAAATAGAAATTAATTGCAGGAAAAGGTCAATTTAAAGAAATTAGTTTAAAAAAAAAAGAAAATGAAATAATTTTTAATGTTGATATTCTCTGAACATATATATTTGCTTTTCATGTCAAAATAACTGCATCAAACCTAAAACATTTGTTTTAAAAGGTGAAATAATGAAAAATGCTACAGCTGTGGTGATCCAGACTTTTGCAATGGAAGACACAGAGATGGCACATGAAAACACTCTTTGAATTTGAGATGGGAAAGTCTCAAAAGCTCAGCAACTCCTTCGGGATGGGAAAAGAGATTATTACCCAGCTCCACTCAAAGCTAATTATTTATGGTTGGATCTGATCTTGAGACTCAAACAGAGAAAATTCTGAGACAGAAAAAGAATATGCGATGCATTAACCACACATAGACATATACAGATTAATTTCCAGTCTTACCTATCTGAAAATCAGAATGGAGTCATTAGTTAAGCTGTTGTTAACTATAATGATCTATTGTTTGCTTCTCGTAGTCGGGTTGATACAGTCATTGTTTGTATGACACTATTATAAGCTTAAAAATCAGAAAGCTCTTTTGAAAAGCCTGCCTGTACTTCACCAATACAAGTGTTCAAGGGAAGAAAAAACTTTGAAGTATTTTCTAAAAGGACATCATGTGAGCGTGAAGACATTATTTGCTGATTAAATGAAAAGCTTCTTCCTCTTTAACTGGTTCTAAATGAAATTCAGATCTCTAAAGAGAACATAAGCAAAGCAATAAAAATTAAGACCCTTGCTAATACTGCTTTTTGATGCCTCAGACATCTGTGCTTAATTATACTTGTCAGTGGACAATATATCCTCTTCGTGCAAGCTCACATATATCTTACAGCAGAGGGAAGATGAAGTTTCTTGAAGAGAATCTTAGGGGTAAGTATAACAGCCTTCTATAGTTTCTCAGATGACAGCATATGAATAACAGACTTTTTGGCCCACTGCCATTGTTGGGGGGGGGGGGGGAAACAAGTTACAGAAAAACAAGACAGTTCTGGTCTGATCAGAACCCTAGATTTTCCATGTTTCTGTGAATTACAAAGGTTTAGAAAATTTCAATTGGAAATACCAGTATTTAAGTATTTAGACAATTTCAAAACAAAACTTTTTCTAATTAGGAACAGGAAATCAGCTGCTGATTATTTTTATTTCTAACTGAGAGTAGATTTGGAGACACTCTTCCATAAGCAGTGGTAAGCTTATATGACAGAAAGAAGACCAAGGACAGACACAGCTGAAAGCAGGCATATGCATGAAGATTTTTATGAACATGTGCCTTCCCTCGTATTTGCAAAACAGTGAAAGCACTCCTGAAATCAGTTACCCAATGTCAGCCCATACACAGGACTTCATTTAATACAACTGCTTTCCAAGTTAGGGAATCAAAAGGGAGTGCAGGTTAGGCAGGAGAAAGCTAATGACAGATATTCAGAATGAGTTCTTACCACAATGATTTTCTTTTCTTTCTTCTCACCATCAGTAGGATGTATTACAGGTAAGCAATATTTAAAGAGTGATTAAAGACCCAGACCATTGCTTTTCCCAAACTGAACAGCTATGGGGGGGTAGACGAGTGTTTTGCTTTTTTTTTTTTTTTTTTTTCCCCCCCAGCGACTTCCTTTCATACCCCTTGCAAATGCAAAAAGTAACACATGAAAATTTCAGCAGTAGTTACTACCTCATAGCTGCATTTGAAATATTAAATCTTGAAGAACCATTTATGATCACATGTAAAACTGCATGGTCATCTCGTTCACATGATGTTGTATGTTGACAATTATAGCACCAGTAAATGTGGTTTACTCTAATACAGCTCTTTTTAAGCTGGACCCCTCAGGACATTGGCAGAAGAGTATTTGGACCAAGATCCCTGAACTCCAGCAGGAGATCAATGCTGAGGAAATGGATTTCTACTTCCATTTTAAGGTAGATGTGTAGGCTTAAACTTTGCAGACTCTTGCCATTTCTAGAAAGCTAAGGCTTTCTATTGCCTGAGAAAGCTCCTGAAGCTGCAGCAGTGGCTTAAACCACCCTACTCTTACAACCAATACAACCAGCCAGACACACAACCTATATGCTGCAAATCTGATCTAGGTTTTGGGGTTTTGAGGGGTTATTTTTAACACAGATGACTTCTCTGATCTGGTTCACTGCTCAGACAGAACAGTACCAGTGTGACAGAGGCAGCAGTATGATTCAAGAATGAGCAGCAAGAGATGAGAACAGTCAGATGAAGTGCGCTCATCTGCTATAAAACATGCTTGCCAAACTGTGGATTAATATACTTTCTCACTTAACAAGCTTACCCAATAGCTCCTCTGAAATTGCCTTAGATGGTGAACCATTGTCAAGCAGAAGAGCAAGTCACTGTGATACTTTGCTTCTAGTATTAATAACTCACAGAGGACTATGAGAGATGTACTGTCCAGATTGCATCATGGCAAGATGTTTTGGGAATAATTTATTTTTATTACTTCAGGATAACTTTATAAATACATATGTTCCTTGTAAATACAGGTACTTGGCTTCCAGTGTTGGTTCCAACTTTTCTGCAAGTTCTCCAAATTCCTAAGAAGACTCAAGTTCTCTATTACAGTTTGTCAGCTTCGCGCTGATTTTGCTCTCTGCTTGGTCCTGCACCTGATCAGTACTAAAAACCTCAAATATTTCTCAAAATCCAGATTTCTCACCCTTCAGTAGATTTATGTTCTGCTGATTTCTTTGATGTCTGGTGGATCGTGACCACATCTGCCCTAGAACAACCTAGGAGATTGTAATTTGTCTCTGGGTACCATAAGCAGCTTACACACATTACTCCTTGCATATACGACACTCATTGGTAAGTTCCAATGCCAAGTATGAGGAACAAGTCATCTAACCGAGGGTTAGGGGGTGGGGGGGGTAGGGTGTTTCTCCCAAATGGTTGGAAATACAGCTGCAGAGAGATTGCTTAGATGTAGTCACATGGTTCCTGCATGAGCTAATTGCAAAATGATAGACTCGAGATAGTTCTTGAGAGAGCAGAAAGAACAGAGATGTTTAGGACATAAACTTGCAAGGGAAAAGAAGTCTTGGAGCCTGTTCTCTTCTCCGTCATTCAAGGGATAGAGCTTTGTGAATTTGCTTCCATTTTTGTGAATAAGAAATGAAGCCAGGAATTGTAACGATCTCTTGCAGAAAAGCCTGAAAGTACCCCAAAACTGGCTAAGTAGTCAGGGTGGTGATGAAACGTATTATGATTTCCCACCAACTAAACCACAATTTAGCATTTCAGTTTTGAATCATGCTTGTTTTGTTGCTTTCAGAATGACGGTGAAAATTTCTTGACTGGTAGAAATGCAGATTCACAGCTGCTGTTGATTGTTGTAACTCCTTTGATGTCGGTAGCTGGAAGGAAGATGAATAGCAGCTGAGGAGCTGTTAAACTCCTTTACACTAACCAGTCACTGCTCCAGATCACTGTGATCCAGGGAACCCGTCTGATGGTTCTACAGATGAAGATTTAAAAGAAGATACACGCTTCACTGACTGACAAACTGTCAGATCTTGCAATGTGCTGATCTCATTCCAGGAGCTATACATCTGCATGTGCTTAGGATACACGATGTATCGCTCCTGTGTTGCCTCAGTGTCCTGCTCTGGTGGTTGCTCAGCTTTTTGCAGAAGTATTAAACTTTCCACCAACTGAATGGAAACAAAAGTGGGTTTTAACCCAAGATGCTTAAAATGCTGTGTTGTGAATTTCCATTAGGGGTTGGTACTCTCCTATCTCACAGTGACTTCTAATGTGTATAATATTTGATAGCTGAAGTGATATGGGATTTGTCCTCCAGATACAGTAAGTAACTTTTGTAACCAAATATTTCATTTTGAAGTGCTTATATTCTTGTTCCTCTGGCTCAAAATACTGTTATATATACATTATCACTATACACAGACTATTATAGCAGCAGGGAAGCCATGGTATTCAAGGGACTCCAAGAAGGCAAGGTTTGTAGGTAGAAGTAACAGCCTTGATTTCAAGTATACACGCAGTTGAGCTAAATCAAATCACTGACTTCTGAAAACACACGGTAAAACTCCTCACTAAGATCAAGGGAGCCTTTTCAAGGCCTGCTAAGTATCAGGTCTCTTGCATGATGCTCAGGTTTTTCTTTGTTCCCATGCTATCTGGAGGAATGGCTGGTAATTTTGTCAGCAGCTGAAGAACAGGAATGTGAAAAAGTTACTCTAAAATGTAAAAAAAAAAAAAAAAAGT